TGTTTAAAAATAGGAAAATAGACACGCTATAGTTATACACGATATATATCTGTTTATAATACACATTTTAAAATTGTATTGCATACCTGCTGCTGCCATAATAAATACCCATTTCGAATGTTTACATGCTTTTCTTCTCTTTCTGCTCCCAGTCGCTGTGGTGGAGCAGTTATGACGTATTGTTTTTTTAAAATACTTTCCAGCATTTCAGAAATAAATATGTATGCAAATTACACCGAAATACAACGTTACCTTACAGTGTTAGGGAGTGCTCAAAAAGGGTTTAAACACTGAATTTTGAATCAATTTATTCTCGTAAACTCAGAGATGTGGATTCGGACGGCAATTAAATTACCACACGACCTTGGTGTTTGTCAAAAAACAGTAGGTAATTCGGCCGGGGATTTTTACGGGGGTGGTGAGAGAAAAACACTGACATCCTGGATAAGGACGGCATTAAAATCACCAACTACCCCCTGTAAATGGTGAAAATCACTTACGTCCCCCTTAGAAACAATTACCGTCCGAATAGGGCTTTTGTCATAAATTCCTGCAGCTGCTTCAGAGTTGCTGTAGTCCTCTTGGTCGCCTCTCTGACCAGTTTCCTCCTGGCTCTTTCATCCAAGTTTTCAAGTTTAATATATTTATATAGCACCATTAAAACAGCAGCAGCTGACCAATGTGCTTTACAGCATCAAATAGGATAAATACAAGCAAAACAATAGAAAAATACTATCACAGATAATTTATCAACAAGATATCAAAAGAAAATCGGAACACCAACAGAAGTCAAATACAAAAATTAATCATCAAGGGACATTAAAAGCAATGGAAAAATAATTATTTTTAAGCAAAGATTAAAAAATCTCTATTGTAGGAGCAGGTCTAATATGAGCTGGTAACCTGTTCCAGAGTTTAGGACCCACGACGGCAAAGGCACGTTCACCTCTTTGTTTAAGTGTGAAGCGACGTCCTGATCCAGGGAGGGTCTGTGTTGTACCAAATACCTTCCACTTCTTAATAACAGAGGTCACTGTGCTTGTAGGCATTGATAAAGCCTTTGACATCTTTTTTGTATCCATCTCCTGACTTGTGCCTGTCCACAACTTCATCCCGGAGATCTTTTGACAGTGCCTTGCTAACCATAGTCGATTGTTTGCTTCAGTTGCACTACCAAGGACTGTAATGCTCCAGGAAAGCTCTTTTCATGCTGAGATAATCAAAATGACCACAGCTGATTCTGTTTTTTATTTTTTTATTTTTTCCTGACATGTTGGTGTTATATCTTTCACTTGGATGTTATAAGTTGCACTGAGTAAATATAGCTGGATAAAACAAAAACGGTGTCCGTCTTCATTTCAGGCTGCAAAGCAACAAAATGTGATTATTTTAAAGGGGGGTGATTATTTTCTATACCCACTGTATATGTGTGTGTTTTTAATTCATTTTTCAAGAGGAGCACAGGAAAATGACAAAAACCTGACAAAATTTACATCTTATTATTAAAACCGCTGAAATAAATGAGAAAACAAAACAACAGAGATCTGAGTCCCAGACAAATGAATATCTTGACTAGAAAAACAGACTTTCCCTGCACCTCTCCGTAGGGAGATGAGTGCAGCACAGCAGATAAAACAGACAGTTAATAAACTTGTCACTCTCAAAAGCTACATGGTAACAGATCTGCATGCTTGGCAGGTGTTAAAAGTGTTGACTATAGCACTGGTGCACTTTAAAATGGGATTTCTTGCTGTTAGATGGTCAGCTGGATGACAATTATGTGGCTAAAGCACAGTCATTCTTCAAGAGATGCCAAGTTTTGGATACCAATGCAGAATAACATGGTTATAGCTGTTGCCAACATCAAACACTTTCATTCTTACTTTTATTTCACTTTACTTGCAGTTTAAGTAACACACAAGACATATTATGAGGGCCCTTAATTGTGGAACTCAATGGAACTAATAAAATAAATCTGGAATGTAAACTTGAAAATCAATACTGAATCAGTTCAAATAATATAAAAAACTGCCATCAACAAAAAAAAAATCCAAAAATCAGCACAATATGATATCATCCATCTTTTGCTTATTGGTTCTTGTTGAATAATATTTGCTATTAACCTTTTTGTCCCATTTCCACAACAAATCTTCTGTACATGTTATGGGATCTGCTTTCAGGTGAAACATCACCCAGCATGATGTCTACTGACTCAGCAAATCATTCACTCAACTAATCAATTCAACTCATTCACAAGATTGAGTTCAACCAATAACTCAAGAATGAAACTTAGTTTGACTTCCAAACTGGTTAAAATGAATCAGTACAAAGCTACTCTTGAATCAGACATCACTAGATGAAATTGCAGCAAATGGTTACTGATCAATTTAGTATTGCATTATCAGAAAATATCCAATTTGTCACAGCTTCTCAAAGAAGTTCAGTTGAAAACAGAAGGTCTAAGCTGGGTGTCAGGACTGAGCTGCCTTTTTACAGAAAATAGTTGGGCAATTACATAGTGTCACGCCCATGGACTGTTTGTGTGTGTTTTGCTCCCCGTGACCCAGTTTCTCTCACTTGTTGATTGTGTTAATTTGATTCCAGGTGTGTCTCCTTAGTCCCCTCGATTAGTCCCTCGTTATCCTGTGTTTATAAGCCCCAGTCCGTGCAGCTAGTGTTTGTTGGGTCTACTGGTTATGTTCGTGTGTCATTCCTCGTTCCTGTTGTGGATTTACCTCTGTGATTGTTCATTAAAAGACTGTGCAACGCTTCTCCGCGTCTCCTGCGCTCCTTCCCTCCGGCAGAGTCGTGACAGAAGACCCGAGCTAGAAACAATAACCTCTGTGTGTTCCCTCCGTTTTTGTTTCCGTTTTTTTCCTCAGTGTTTTTTGTTCCGTTGTGTCCATGGATCCCCTCCTTCGCCCGGAATACCTCCTCCTCCTGCTGAAGCAGGGGGAGATTGCTCGAGGGCCACACCAGACTGTTCCTGGTGCTCGCCAACATCTCCAGCTACCCGGACGACGCGCTCTGTGAGTTCTATGACACTAGTTTAAACTCCGCGTACAGAGCGCCGTCATCCGAGGAAGGCCCTCGAGCGAATTTCGCCACATTTGTGGAGTGGACACTGGCGAGACACGGATCCCCGTTCATCATTTGTCCCAAGTTAAGCCCGGAGGCCCTCAGCCCACGATCAGCACGGTGTGAGCTCCACGGGACTGCCATCCTCCAGCGTCACCGTGGCTTGAGTACCCCTTGACTCCGCCTCCAGCCTTTAAGCCCCGGACTCCGCCTCGGCCCGTGGACCCGTCGGCTCCACCATGGCTCCTAGCTCCCTCCTCTCCGCCGTGGCCCGGCAGCCCACTAGCTCCGCCGGGCTCCCTTATCCCTCCGGCTCTGCCTTGGTCTGGCGCCGACCATCCTGCGCCTCGGGACTCCACTCCTCCGGCTGCGCCTCGTCCCTCCGGCTCCGTCATGCTCCTTCATCCCTTTGGCTCCTCCTCAGTCCTCTGTTGCTCCGGCTCCACTGCGGCCTTTTGGATCCACGCCTCCGCGTCAGTCGCCGGCGCCATCTGCTCAGCCTTGGCCCTCCGGATCCTCCCCGTCGCCCTGGCTCATCGTCTCTCCGTCTCCGCCTCGGGCTCCTCCGCTACCTGCTCCGCCACCCTTGGTCAGCCCCCTGGAGTCGGCGGCCATTCCTCCTCCATGGCTCCTCCCTCCGTCGGCTCCACTGTGGGTCGCCTTAATGGCTGTGGCCTGGGTCCCGCCCAGCTCCTCCTGTTCCAGCTCCAAGTCCTTCCCGTCTCCTCCCTGGCTCCTTCCTCCTGCAGTACCACCCTGGACTCTGTTTTTCATCCTCCTCCCGGGTGTCCGTCCTCCTCCCGAGCCTCCTCCCAAGTTCCCTCCGTCCATTCCTATGTTGTTTCTGTGGTGCGAGGATATGTCACGCCCATGGACTGTTTGTGTGTGTTTTGCTCCCCGTGACCCAGTTTCTCCCTCTTATTGATTGTGTTAATTTGACTCCAGGTGTGTCTCCTTAGTCCCCTCAAATAGTCCCTCATTATCCTGTGTTTATAAGCCCCAGTCCGTGCAGTTAGTGTTTGTCGGGTTTACTGGTTATGTTCGTGTGTCATTCCTCGTTCCTGTTGTGGATTTACCTCTGTGATTGTTCATTAAAAGACTGTGTAACGCTTCTCCGCGTCTTCTGTGCTCCTTCCCTCCGGCACAGCCGTGACACATAGATAATCTACCAGTTTAAATTATTTGCTATTACATACATGACACCTTTCATTTTTGCTTGTTTTCCCTCATTTTCATTTGTGTTTGTACTGATAAAAAAAGGCTATTCCATACCTGTCAAGACCATGTTTCACCTTTCCTACAGTAAACAATCATTATGAGAATTATGAAATGTATATTTAAATTATATTTGTGCTAATACATATTTCTAGCAATTTCCAGGAACATTAAACACTTGGTATATCAATTGAAGAATTAATTGCACAAATGGGCCTGCATGATACATGATTCTGTACATGGCAAGCGTTCAAAACTGTGTTAATTTAGTATCACTGATATACTATTATAGTTAATATCAACATTTTGAACTCATTTTTTTATATTTCCCGTTTTTATTTACATTTTAGTTAAAGGTTTAGTAATTTTGCTCTGTTTTTGTCATTTCTGTCATTATGTATCATTTTTTTGTCTATATACTTCTTAGTAATTTTTTATTTTTTAGTACTTAGCTCTTAGTATTGTTTTTTTTATTTTTTATTTTTTTTTAGAACTTTAAAATTAAACTAAAATAAAATGAGAAATATTACCTTGCCAGGTAGCTGAAATACATTTTTATAAGATATAATATATAATAAGATTTTTATATTTTATTTAAAAAAAATTGTTTTAGTTAACTAAAACCATGTTTCAAGATAAAAACTAGTGTGAGTGCTAAACTTTTACACAATACAAATTACACTGTGGATCTAAATCTTAGAACTTACTTCAGAGTGGTCATCTCTGTCAGTGATGGCTGGGTGGCTTTGAGGTAGCTGGCCCGTCGCGCCTGCATCTTGGGCGAGGGTTTAGGGCTGCCGTCCGAGTCTCCGCTGTCATCCTCCGCCATGGCTTTTACGTAACTCCCGCTGCGCATGCGTCTACACGGGATATCCTCATCTTTCCCAAGTGGAAAGCCTCCCCACTCGTCTTGAGGGACCTGCGGGGTCAGAGGTGACTCCGTGTCATGAACCTCATCCGAAAGGTGCATGTCACCATCCAAACTGCCTCCTGTGCACTCGGCTCCACAAATCACCCATACATACATACACGCACACACATTCTGATCTACACTTCCTCTCTTTGAGCCGGCAGAGATAATTAATGAGGCTGCCGGTGTGAGCTTGCATGATTACACTAACGACGCCTCCCTGGGTAGTTAAGCATCTGTCTCAGTGCAGCTCTCCCAGGGCAAACTCTCATCAATAGGACTCTCTGACAGTATGAGAAGTTGGACTGCGGTTTCAAGAGAGAGGAACGACTCAGAATGACAAAAGGGAAAAGCTTTCATTTTCAACTAGTACTTGGTTTTAGGATAATCAAATGCTAACAAACTAATTGTAATAAAGCCTTGACAAATGCTCATTAAGACTACATAAAAGCAATAAAGCATGTCTGATTTGTATGAAACCACTACTTCGAGTGGGAGGGGACCCTTTCTGAAATGGGCCAGGGGCTGAAAAACATAGGAAAAACAAAAACAAATAATAAGCATGTTTAAAGTGAAAAAAAAGTATGTAATTTTAAATTAAAAAAAAATCATACAATTAAAACTTCAACACTTCAACTAACACTAAATAAACTAAAATACTTAAAATAAAAATATATAAAAATGGTAACACTTTAGTAGGAACCAGTTCTCACTATTAACTAGTTGCTTATTAGCATGCATATTATTAACATATTGGCTGTTTATTAGTACTTATAAAGCACATATTCTGCATGTTTTTGTCATTTCTGTCATTATGTATCATTTTTTTGTCTATATACTATTTTTCAGTACTTAGCTCTTAGTATTGTTTTTTTTATTTTTTATTTTTTTTTAGAACTTTAAAATTAAACTAAAATAAAATGAGAAATATTACCTTGCCAGGTAGCTGAAATACATTTTTATAAGATATAATATATAATAAGATTTTTATATTTTATTTAAAAAAAATTGTTTTAGTTAACTAAAACCATGTTTCAAGATAAAAACTAGTGTGAGTGCTAAACTTTTACACAATACAAATTACACTGTGGATCTAAATCTTAGAACTTACTTCAGAGTGGTCATCTCTGTCAGTGATGGCTGGGTGGCTTTGAGGTAGCTGGCCCGTCGCGCCTGCATCTTGGGCGAGGGTTTAGGGCTGCCGTCCGAGTCTCCGCTGTCATCCTCCGCCATGGCTTTTACGTAACTCCCGCTGCGCATGCGTCTACACGGGATATCCTCATCTTTCCCAAGTGGAAAGCCTCCCCACTCGTCTTGAGGGACCTGCGGGGTCAGAGGTGACTCCGTGTCATGAACCTCATCCGAAAGGTGCATGTCACCATCCAAACTGCCTCCTGTGCACTCGGCTCCACAAATCACCCATACATACATACACGCACACACATTCTGATCTACACTTCCTCTCTTTGAGCCGGCAGAGATAATTAATGAGGCTGCCGGTGTGAGCTTGCATGATTACACTAACGACGCCTCCCTGGGTAGTTAAGCATCTGTCTCAGTGCAGCTCTCCCAGGGCAAACTCTCATCAATAGGACTCTCTGACAGTATGAGAAGTTGGACTGCGGTTTCAAGAGAGAGGAACGACTCAGAATGACAAAAGGGAAAAGCTTTCATTTTCAACTAGTACTTGGTTTTAGGATAATCAAATGCTAACAAACTAATTGTAATAAAGCCTTGACAAATGCTCATTAAGACTACATAAAAGCAATAAAGCATGTCTGATTTGTATGAAACCACTACTTCGAGTGGGAGGGGACCCTTTCTGAAATGGGCCAGGGGCTGAAAAACATAGGAAAAACAAAAACAAATAATAAGCATGTTTAAAGTGAAAAAAAAGTATGTAATTTTAAATTTAAAAAAAATCATACAATTAAAACTTCAACACTTCAACTAACACTAAATAAACTAAAATACTTAAAATAAAAATATATAAAAATGGTAACACTTTAGTAGGAACCAGTTCTCACTATTAACTAGTTGCTTATTAGCATGCATATTATTAACATATTGGCTGTTTATTAGTACTTATAAAGCACATATTCTGCATGACCATATTCTACATCCCTAATCCTACCCAATACCTAAACTTAACAACTACCTTACTAACTATTAATAAGCAGCAAATTATGAGTTTATTGAGGCAAAAGTTGAAGTTAATGGTTTGTTAATAGCGAGAATTGGACCTTTAATGTGACCATAAAACCTTTAGTATGACCATAAAAATAAAAATTAAAAAAATTATAATTAAACAACTAGGCTCAATCTCAATTTCCATTATGATATAGCTAACTTTTTCCTTTTTTAATAAATCAAGTAAAGCTACAACTCTATGCCCACGGATGTATAACAGAAGTAGGACCACATTTGGTTTCATTTTAGTTTTCATTGGTTTCACTTGATTATTTGACCTCAAAGAAGCCTGAGCTCAATGTAAACTCAGAGTTACCAAAATACCTGCCAGTTTGTTATAAATGCGATTGTTCAGCACATAAGTAAACACTTAAATAATTAATTTAATTGCATGACCTATCATTAGGTCATGATAGGTACATTCACAAATATCTGTAATACTTGGTGGTAATGTTATCATATAAAAACAAGGATCCACAGTATTAGTTTCATTGTTTAAATCCCTCTCAAAATTTCCAAAAAAAAATGATTCACTAATTACTAAAGTTGGATAAATCACAGTGTGTCAGGGAAATAATTGGACATAACTTTGGTCATTTTTATCTCTATTTTTAATATAAAGAAACAGAATGGGCCATCATCAATTAATTTTTTAATTATTATGTGGGTCTGGGAACTAGACTTGTGCCGGTATTCGGTAATGCGATATATCACGGTAATGAATATGCACGATATTGTTATCGTGGGCACTTCTAAATACCGTGAATAATTATATATTACAAATTATTCAGAATTTTGAATGCATTTTAAGAATACTTTTCCCATAAACTGGTCAAAATGCGCAACACGCTGTATGCTGCGTGAAAGACGCATGAGCACTCTGATGTAAACAAGCGGACGAGAAGCGCATGACGGAACATGTGAGAGACGCCCTGGATGAAAGCGCACTTTCACTCTCTGACAGCAGATGGCGCTAAACTGCAGAAATAATAATAATAATAATAATAATAATAATTCATTTAAATGCAGCCGTTACCCCGGAAACCCTGTAAACAAAGCAGCTGCACTACTTTCTGTTTCTGAATCGTGTTTAAATGATTTAAACAGCCATTCAGATTTGTGTATTTGCTATAATGTTCATCACAGCGCCAAATACTTAAATATTTAGACTTAATAGGCTATTTATTTTCAAACTTTTTTTTACATTTTAATCTGGACTACAACATGCCCTAGATATGGAAAGTTTGAAAGTGTTTTGATTCTTTATTGTTCGTTCACACTTTACATTAGGGCTTCATTAGTTAACATTAGTTAATTCATTAGTTAACATAAACTGCCAATGAAAAATTCTTCTGAACATTCATTAATCTTAGGTATTCCAATATTTAATAACACGTTGTTAAAATCGAAAGTTGCAACTGTGTTATTTAATGAGCTAACATGAACTAAGACTTGTATTTTTTAAACAAAGATTAATAACTTCTGTAGCAAATGTAGCTATTGCTCATTGTGAATGTTAATGCATTAAACACTTTTCTTATTGCATTTAAATGTTCAGTTATTTTTGTTATAAGAAAAAAGTTATTAAACCTGTTATACCTGTTATACACAGCACTTTTTTTAAAACTAAATTTCAATATCGTGATAATACCGCATACCGTGATAAAAGCATTAGCAATTAATCGCAACATGAAAATCTGATACCGGCATATCCCTATCTGAGGCTCATCAATATTAACAGAGCTGCTGAAAAGTCTCTTTATTTCATGTCAATAGTTCCTGTTTTCTCCTCATTTATTATGCTGATGTCTTC